TGAGGCCATCCCAGCTCTGTGGCCTCTGGCTCTCGGGACAGAGGCTGCTGGGCTTTTGGGAACCCTCCTTCCCCAGCGGAAACTGTTCCCGGCCAAGGCTCAAGGCAGAAGACCCAGTCACCGGCTCTAAGCACGTCACAGTTTCAGACACGCAAGTGCCAGCCCGTGCCTGGGCCTGGTAAACATGGTCTGTTTCCTCCCGCCTCTCCCCCAGCCATATTCACTGCTGCGAGAGAATTTTCCAGAAGGGGAAACTGAGGCACAGAGGCTGAGCGACTTGCTGCTGGTTGCACGGCAAGGTGGCTGTTGAGCCCTGTGTGTGTGGGTGCGGAGGATGGGGTGACAGGCTGGATCACAGGGATGCGAAGTCAGAGACCTGGGGGCGCTGGTCCAGTCACCTTTCAGCCTCTCTCCCTGCTCTCTGCCCGTCCTGCGCCTGGGCCTGTGAGGTGCTGCAGCTGCAGAAATAATCCACGCTCCTGCCGTGCAAAGTGCCCGAGCAGCCCAGCCAGCTGGCCCGGCAACGCCCTTGTGTTTGGCAGCTCAGCCGGTGACGCCGGACGGGGAGTTGGCAACATCGGGCTGGCGCTGGCTCCGCCTCCACCAACCTCAGTGTGACGCGCTCGGCAGACGTGCTCAGGGGGCACGGCTGGGCGCCGTGGGCAGGGCCTCGCGGGCTGTGCCGGGATACAAGCTCCTATGTGGTGCCCCTGTGGGCCCTTGGGGTTCGCCCATGTGAACCCAGGGCCATTTAACCGGGGCGTGGCTAGTGAAACAAACTCCTGGGCTACGTCTACACTGGCAGGATTTTCCGCAAATGCTTTTAATGGAAAAGTTTTCCGTTAAAAGCATTTGCGGAAAAGAGTCTGTGGCCAATCTAGACGCACTTTTGCGCACAAAAAAACCCCAGGGCTTTTTTGCGGAAAACAAAGCTGAGCTGTCTACACTGGCCCTTTTGTGCACAAGTTTTGTGGAAAAGGACTTTTGCCTGAAAGGGAGCAGCATAGTATTTCTGCAAAAACACTGAAAATCTTACATGAGATCGTCAGTGCTTTTGCGGAAATTCAAGGGGCCAGTGTAGACAGCTGGCAAGTTTTTCCGAAAAAGCGGCTGATTTTCCAGAAAAACTGGCCAGTCAAGACACAGCCCTGGTGCTTCTGTCCTCCTGCCCTGGGTGATGCAGGCGCCCGCAGAGGAGAAGCTGGTCTCTTTGCCAAACCAGGCCCTGTCGCAAAGATGGCAGCAGCGGGGTGAGAGGTGCCGTTACCGGTTCAGGCCGAAGCAGAGCGGGGCCTGGAGGCCCGGTGACGTGGCCAGCAACGCGTCATGTCATTGAACAGCAGCCGAGCTCTGGAGCTTCCGAATTGATCATTAAACCCACCTGTGGAAAAGGAGCCAGTCTATTGCCAGCTGGTTTCACGGCAATAAATCACCCACCGCAAGCAGGTACTTGCACTGCAACCACTCTCGTTATGTCTCGGCAGAGCCATCGGCTAGTTTCAATATTTGCTGCAGGTGATTTGAGCCGCATTCGGTCAGTGAGGCTCCGTCTAGACTCTGGGGTTTTCGCAGGATGCCAGAGGTATCCCAGGAAACTGCCGCATGCAAGGAAGCATTTTTTTTTTTTTTTTTGCAGAAGAGCAGACGTGCCCTTTCGGGGAGCCCTGAATATCTCGTTTCACGAGGCGCAAGGGCTCCGCCGAAAGAGGCTTTTCCGCCATGTGGCCCCGTCTAGACTGGACCAAATGGTGGGAAAGCCTCTTCCGCAAACGCGATCGGAGAAAGCGACCCGGGAAAGCCCTGGAGGCTAGACCTCGCCTAAACGTACTTGACCGGTTCCCTGCGGCCCAGCAGCCAACCTCCAAGAGAAGGGGGTTTGCTGGGAACCTGTCCAAGGCGTTTCCAAAGCTCGGGGCCGCCCCACCCCCTTCACCCTTTTCTGTTTTCAGA